CAAAGTTGGTTAAGAATCCTCACAGTGAATTTGAAATCCGAGCCAGATAATCAGAATGCACAACAAAAACAGGCGAAACTCCTTCAGCAGGCGGGGGAGCAAATGCAAAATATTTACTTTTCGATTGCAGGAGGTGATTCCTCTCAAAAGGAAGACGAAATCGGTACTCAAGGGGGAGTAAACTCAATAACCCAAGGGATAAAGTAATAATCTGCAGAAACACTATGGCAAACAGTGCCCACCGCCTCCCCAAGCACTCTCCATCAGGTTCTCCGCGCCGCAAAACTGTAATGACGTCACGGAGTACAGCTGCGCGAGGGGATGCGACGTGGATCAGTACGTAACCGACGACGACCTAACTGTAGGCAGTAATGCGCTAATTTTAAAAGCTTACTCTGAAACACAAAACCCAAAGCCTAGGCTCACAACAACCGCAATATTAAAACAGGCCTAACCCGAGAAAGTCGGCGTTCCTCAGCTCATGTGGTTTATATATTAAAACGGTCTGCATTATTTTTAACAATGTTGCAGACACCTGTGACAAGGTTTGAAACCTGAGAGCTGGCAGGTATGTCTTATGACGTCATCGACCTGCTAATGATCTATGTGAAGCAGACAAAATTATGAGCAGCTCAGATGGAAATGCGCCTGCGCAGTATGGTGTAAGCTGTTTTGCCTGAATGGTAGATATACTGGCCACTGCCTTCATACTCTTGAATTTTCCTGTGTCCATGAACAGACTGCTGTATGCAACTGTGCATCGGCCAGGAAAACCTCTCATATTGAATAAAATTCAAAGCATCGCATGCAACTTCACTAAAAGCCCGGATACCACCTCGGAGAATTGGAAACAAGGAATGCCGAAGTAAAGAGGCCAGGTAAAAAAGTAAAGTAAAGCTATCCCTATAACATGCCGTGAAGGCCCATAGGGTTGTGAAACGCTGAGGGTCCCACACTATCCAGACAATCGGCTCAAAGATGGAGGTAAGGTTGTCAGCCTTACGCGCGGGCCACACTTTACTCCCCAGGAAAATTATTAAATTAATTCCTAGTACTCATTTCTGTTAGAGGCTAAGTAAACCCCAGGGCCTAGTGCGGCTGGTAGGAATAGGTCAATTGAAAAAAATCCAATGACCTCATCGGGACTTGAACCCGCAACCTTCCGGCTTGTAGCATAGCCCCTCAACTAAAAAAATAACAAAGAATAACACTAAATTCAACGAACAGTTACAGTGGAGGAGAAAGAGACGCAACAATAAAAATGAAAAGGCCAGAGATGGTACCAATGCCCAAAACTGGGTCATTTGACAGATAAGACCTGTCCAGCATGTGATACATGTAACCTCATATAAGATCATTTGTCCAAAGTGTGCAGAAAAAGAGCAGTGAAGTAAAACACAGGTGGGGAAGAGGGCAGTGGAAAAATGGCAGATCAAAAGAAATAAGGTTAATTGGGTCCTGTCACATCGCATACAATAAAAGAATCCTTTCTCTTGGTTGTTGGGGGGACATGTTATGACAAAGATACTAAATACTGCAAATGCTGGTCCAGTTGGTCTAGGAGCACTGCTAATCCACCAAGAGAAGGATGGGCCTCGAATAACACAGTATGCCTACAGGGCACTTGGTAATGTGGATGTACTCTCAGACAGGCAAGGGGAATAGGAACGACCTCAATATGCTTATATATGAAGAATCTTCAACATAACTGACCATAAACCACTGAAATCAATCTCTGATTAACATGCCAAAATGTGCCAGAGTCCAGAGATGGATTTTAAGAGAGCTGTTGCTTTCTTTCAGGTTGTGTATAAATCAGGAAAATACAGCATGGTCAACCCCTTATTGAGACAACTTGATGTACCCAGGATACTGAAGGACTTCATGAAATGGGAATGCACTGTTTACAGGAGTGGAAGCCATGGTTCCTAAAGCAATGATGATTCAAACTATCCAGAAGGCTGAGCCAAATGAATTTCTGAAATCAAATAAATGAGGTGAAAAATTATGATTTAAGAGGCACAGCAAATTAACTGTGCAGGACAATGTGCACTGCAAGAGTTTCATGGTTTTCCTTACTTCTTTGCCATTGTACGTAAAGACACAAAAATTAAAATAGCTTTCCACAAACAGAACACAATACAAAGCATGGCTCACAAACAAATACAGCGAAAACAGGCATTTATCAAATAAAATGCCTAAACTGCCGATTAAAATACGGAGGACAGACAGGGACAGCATTCAACATCAGATACAAAACACACATAAAAACCATAAGAAATAAGAATAGCAACTATTGATCCTCATAAAAAAAAGTAAAGCTATCCCTGTAATAGGCCATGGAGGCCCATAAGGTTGTGAAAACAGAGGGTCCCACATTATATAGACACTTGGCTCAAAGACAGCGGTAATGTTGTCAGCCTTATGCGCTGGCCGCGCTTTACTCCCCAGGAAAATTATTTAATTAATTCCTGTACTCATTTCTGTTAGAGGCTGAGTTGACCCCAGGGCCATAGTGCGGCTGGAAGGATTAGGTCAATTGAAAAAAAAAACCCAATGACCTGATCAGGATTTGAACCCGTGACCTTCCGGCTTGTAGCATGACCCCTCAACGACCACATATTAAATGCAGGACACACAAATGGTACTATACCCTACACCATGGACATTACAAGGCCAGAAAAGAAAGGGAAACATTTAAACAGCTCAAAGAAATATACTTATTTAATTAGTAAAGACAACCTGCACATGGACAAAACCTACATTAACAAACACAACCCAATATTCAAGGCCTCACACAGATTCTATACCAGACAGCAGAACACATGTTACCCCATTACATGTTACAGACCCAACACTATGGAAAGTCTGTAGTACACATACAAACACACTTAAGTACTACCACAAACATCACTATGGCTCAGGCACTAAATAACATAAAACATATAATGTGTAACACATTCTTGGCACATTGCAGGTACCCATGAAACCATCCATGAAATACACACTACAAGAAAGACAAGCACCGTGATACACAATATGAGTACATCATCTTAAACTATTTTAAAATCATTTTATATACTAATTTATTTTAGCAGAAACCAATTTGGTCTAAATAATAAACTTTAAGATGTACTACCCTCAAGGACTATATAACACAGTATAACAATGTACATAAATCATCACATATAGCTGTCAGTGGCCCTGTGTGGCCGAGACATGTCACTGAATCTATATGAAAGCAAGGCCCAGCTAGTGTGCGTGTGTGTGTTATCAAGTTATGAGCTAAAATTAAGAAGAGCCATAACTGATGTTATTCTAAATTTGAAATCAATATAGAAAATTCTGGCAACTGGTGTAATACGTGGTACTCACTCCATAGTATAATTCCAGTTACAATTCAGTTTATGGTTTAAGAAATTATAAATAAAGTATGTAACTCAACAACACTTACTGCAGCCAAACATAAAACCATATATTATCAATGGGGCATTCTATCTGCTGGCATATAAGAAGAGTGTCAAAGAGTAAGTCCAGCAAACAGGCAGCTAGCAGAGCTCTGCTTATTGCCTGATTCATGCTGGTATTTTGCTTGGCATACTCTTGAACCCTGAAGATAGATGTGACGTGTTCCTCCAAAATGTCTGCTGACTTTCAACAGATTACATAGCATTACATCCCAAAAGACATAACTCTTCATAACCACCACTGTGATCTTTTCTGCTGAACCTGCCTGAAACTGGGCGCCATCATTCAAAGTGTTTATGCCAAGCATGTATCAGAAATATATATACTGAATTACAGTCAAGGTGCATAATGATTAAACTATATGTCTACTATCAAAGAGTTAAAATGAAAAGAGAATGAAAAAATTATAAGAAACCCTTCCTCTTATTTGTTCAAAGCAGAATTTCTTTTATAAGTACTATATTGGCAGAGTTGGGATTATTCACAATCAACCTATGTTTCTTCTGCAGAATTCGGATATGAAAGCACATATTTATCAGTATTTTACATGAGCAGTTATTTAAAAATTAATTTATAAAAACATATGCACATTGGCATTCTGCAAAGCATGAGTTCTCTGATCAGCAAGCATGGAAATTATACTCTGGAAAAGTTGTCAGGTACTTTTTATAATAAACATTGTCCTCGTGGTATCTGAAATATTACTAGGTTTCAAAATCTTCATTCCGAAACCACGTCAAGAACATAATCATTTAATGACAATTGTAAGTGCAATATTTGAAAATATATCTGTGCAACAAGAATAGTTTTAATTCATTGCAATCATCCTCAACAAATGTCAGTTCTTATAGCAATACGTATCTAACAATGGACTGCTGAGACTATAATTTTAAAGGGCTTCCTTGTACTGCCAATTATTCCCTCCAAAACTTCTAAAGATGTCACACTACCAGCAATATCAACCTCTTTATGACAGATCACTAAATAATAAATTGAAAATGATGTGACACCAAACACTTCACGATAATATGTCTCTATTGGTAAAGGGAAATATGGAAGTAAATTTTTATTCTAGCATTACTTCATGTAAATTTGTATGAAAATAAAGACAGTAATTATTTCATTGGTTGAGGAAAATCGATTCTATTCACAGGACCAATTATTAAATTAGAAATGCTATAAAAATTATAAGAGGATCGTAATTATGGCATTCTGCTCTCTTATACTTCTTTCACTTATCATATAAAAATTCTGATACATTTATGCAATTATGATATGAAACATTTTTTAGGCACTAGATTGCACAAAATCTAGAAGAGGAATGGGGGCACAATATACTTCCGATGTTAATCTCGCTTCTCAAAAACCTAAATCAATTAATTCTTTCACGTACGTGGGTTTCACAAGATGCAAAAAATATGTCATGGTTCTGAAACTTTATACATTCCACATTAACTTCTCCAGGAAACCTATACGCTCACAAATATACAATAGTATACATTTCTAATATTTGAAACATCTTCAACACCTACCGTTACTAATCTTACAGACCTAAAATTTTACGGGGCTTCAACCCACTTCCGAAAATTATATACACTGTCACACACAAACACGAGAACGTCCAGTCCTCAGAACACTGATTCCAAGAAATCAAGTTCCTAATAAAAAGACAACGTCACACGTTCAAGATCAACATTTTCTTCTTTTGAATTACTTCTAAGTGAATTACCACATGAAATATTATAAACATTTTTCGGGCACTTCAGCTTTGTCGATATGTGTTAACAACACGTAAACATCAACATAAAATTGGAGCACTTAAAAAAACACCAACATTCTCTTCCTACGTAGCTCACAATTTATTATCCACCAGGTGGCATCACTGCACGAGGCACGAGCGTGCTTCGTGCGAGAGCAAGTTCGATATGTTGCGTTGTGGTTACGTTGTTTGAAGTCAAATCCTGAACTGATCTGTCTTTTAGTAGGTAAAAGGTAAAAGCCCCTGTGCTCAAACACCATGTCAGGAAGCCGTGTAGGGGACCTGGATACTAGATTGAGGTGAGGGGTCAGTTTCACGTTCCATCCGCTTTACCCCCGGTACCCATTTGACAGGACGCTGGGTGGGGCCCAGAGCCAATCTGGACTGTGTGGAGTACAAAAAGTCTCATGCCTCGCCGGGAATCGAACGCCGACCGTCCAGCACATAACCCGCGAAAACAAGAAGTTCTTGAAAAAACTAAAACCGCCAACTTTGCTCTGATATGATGCCTCCAGCAATTATACGATTCTAGAGCTATTTCCTAGCAACGATAGGGAGGATACTTGGTAAACACGTTCCCGCGGTAATGAATACACAGGCAACAATAGATGAACTGTTGGTCGCATCGTTTTCTCTCCAGTCCGTGTCAGTGTTGCATACAGCCTTTAATTTAACTTAAATAAGGAAAGTAGGCTAAAAACAGAACTGAAAAAAAACAGGAAAATTTCAAAGCGTTTAGAAGCCGCCATGGATCCATATAACGTGTGCGCTTTACATACTTTACAATAATATAATCCTGGGACAATACCCTTAAAAAGGATGACACCAGACAAATTGTGAAAATAGTTAAAGTGACAAATATTTTCGTTGTACTCGTATCTTTTTATTACTGTATGTTAAAACTGAATCATTCGACAGTATTCTTACGACTGTAATTACAAATTAGATTCTGCAGTTGTAAGACGCAAAAACTGATTTTGGTTCTTCGATGTTTTTTCTAAGTTACAGTGTGTTTAAATTCTGAAAATCATTCTGTGCTCGATTGCTTCACGGTTTTATAACAAACACCGTTGGTTTGATTTCCGTTCATGGCACAGATGTGTCATTATGTTTTGATGGTAACAAAATATTACAACTACAAAACTTGTTAGCTTAACCGAATGGAATACATGAAGCTGTTAGTGAACAAAGGGTGTAAGATACTGACATTGGTACAGGATTGGCGCGAGCGCGGAAGTAGGAAATCCCAGTACAGTGGTAAAGAACTGGGATCGATTTGTTTCTAACTGGTTAGGAGCGACGCGAAGCTCGCACCACGACGAGCAAAAAACATTCACATTTGAACCGTAAATAGAACATGGAAGTTCTGTTTGAACGAACTGCGTAATATATTCTGATTTTCATTCGACCATTAGGCTTCCTTACACAATTGCGTAGTTACGTGGCGCTGAGGGAGAGGTAGATGCGAATTAGGAATTAGAAAAGATGTGGAAGGAAGGGGTCGTAGCCTATTTTTAAGGTATCAGTCCAGCATTGCAGCAGGGAAGCAGAGAAACCTCAGCCACGATTGCCAACCTCTAGGCCGAGTTTCAAACATGAGAAGTACTCAGAGTACAGTAACAGACAACATTAATTTTTGACTGCTATCATGGAAGCAGGCAGGAAGCTTTCTGGCCGTTTTTTTTGGGGTTTTCTGTGAGGCGGGAGATGCCAATTCTTCATGGAGAGCAGCCAGAAAATTTCTTTACAAACTTGCGTTTGAGACATTTAAGATTATTTTTACCAACAAAAATATTTTTTTATCTATGATTAATATTTGGTATATTTCCCTTTCCTTCAATTTTGATTCTTCTTTAGAAATTCAGTGGGAGAAGGCGGAAAGCAGAAACCTAGTCCCTAACGGTACCGGACACCATAAAGTCAAAAGCAAACTTCAACTGAAGAACGTATTTCACAAGACTGTATTACGAAGGTCATCGCAAGAATTTTAAATGCGGAAAATGGATAATTGTAGGCCCATGAACCAAGAAACGTCATAGAGCATGGGGAATTTGATCTGAACGGAACTTCCAAGAATTCGAATACGAAAAAATATGTATCAGTTTGGAGAATCAACGTTTACATAGAACTGCTGGATGAAAATATTTCGATAATGATGTCATGATCATTTATGAAACCAAGTCGAAATAGCCACCACAATGCCATCTTGTACTGTAAAGCGGAACTCTGTAATGAAAGGTCGCACATGACGATTTCGATGAGCGGAAGTCGGGGGGGGGAGGAGTTTTTGGGACTCAGGGACCTCAAGGACCCCAAGGAGAAGCAACTGGTATAGCGGAAAAGGAAACATGCGGATTCGGCATCTGCGGATGGTCGGGATTCAATCACAATGATCACAATACAACTATGGTATCATATTTGTCGAATTGACATAGAGATGGTAGTAGTAATGCTTTCTTAACGTCACGGCGTCCATGTTTCCCGCCAATAATATTGAATTGACACCGGTTGTTAAGGATTGGTCGCGAACCGCGAAGAACTAAGAAAATTACCTACCGTGGAGCAGGGAAGTTGTACAGTTTACGAATTATTATTAGGGTGATCATATCAATCATATCAATGAGGTTTATATGGGCATGTATCACGCATGGAAGAGATGAGATATATGTTAGCAAACTCAATGAAATAGGAGGAACTTCTTCAAAGACTAGGGACGTATAGAACGACCGTAAAGAAATAGAACGTTTGGGCGTAGACTGTATTCGTCTTGTTCGGAATGGGGTTGAGTGGCAGGTTTTGTGACGAACATAGTAAACCGTTTGGTTCATTAAAGGTTTAATAATTAAGCATTAAAAATTTATTGATTAACTGTTACCTTTTGATGGAAAATGATGAATAGATGACATGTCTATCCCACGTGGTCTAGTGGCTAGGATACCTGGCTTTCACCCAGGAGGCCCGGGTTCGATTCCCGGCGTGGGAATTATTTTCATCCTTTTTTTTTCTCCCCCCTACATCAGCAGAGTACAGAAATGTGTATTTGTAATTATCTCATAGTTATAGTCTAGGGTTAACCATAAAAATAAGACTCCTAAATGGGCTTATTTCTTTTCTGCATCATCTTATATTCCTATAATAAGTCATGATAAGCCATTTTTAGACATAGCTTTTCTTTCTTTTTTCCTTCTCCAGAAATGTTTATTAATTTATATAATCCTGTATTTTTTCATGTGAAAAAACTAATATTTTGCTTCTTATCTATCTGTTGCAAACTAGAAAGCTTTGCCCATCGTTCACTTTATAAATGTATTGGAAACCACTCTCTTTTTTCATGGAGGTCATTATTGCCAATACACTATGTACATAACCATAAAATTTCCATCAAGTATAACAAATTTGTAATGTTTAAGAAATCTTTCAGCCTGACATGTTTCAGCCTCAATTGACCATCTTCAGGAGCAACCAGTACTAAAGGAAACTTTGCATAATTTACTTAGAATATATGAATAGTATATGCTCAACTCAATTATCCGGGATAATGGTGGGGATGGAAATCACGATTAATCGAAAACCCGATTGAGACAAATTTTATTAAAAGTAGGACTGTAATACTGTACCTTCATAATACTATAGGCCTACCTGTATTTAAATTTATTCAACCTAATTTTTATGTCATCTCATGGCCTATTTAATGCCTTTTTTACATTACACTGAGGTATGAATTAGTTATTTCATTCACAGTGTTCAACAACAACCAACACTTTTTATGAATATTCACACTTAACACTTAAAAAAATTTAATGTCGTTTGCTTTTTCGTGGCATTTTCCTTTTTACGGATATCTGTACGATGTCTACGTAATATTAGCTTGTCACTTAATAAACTGTTCTCTTCACTCTCAAGATAGACTAGTAAGGATTCCAAATGATTAAGAGCAGCACCATATGATATTTTCTTACTAGCACTACTGTCCACCTCTTCCTGCACCCCCACTGAACTTACAATTTCGTCACTGCTTAACATTTCGAAGCCCGGCTCACACGAGTCACAGTCAAACCACTCTCTTATATTTTCCTTGTTGACTTCTTCACCACCATGAACTTGGTTAGACAGCTGTGTCACTTCTATGGCTATCTCATTTTCACTGAATCCAGTGAATCCATGGATTTTGTCATCTTCATTAGTGATGAAAGGCATCAGTTTCTTCCATGAATTTTTCAATACAGATGGCTTTACTGTATCCCATGCTGTTGGAATTTCGTATATGGCATGGTATATGAAGATCGATACAAAGAGACTAACTGGGGCGGTGTATCTGTCCTTGAACCTTTCCACAAATCCTTGCATTCTTTCACCCCTACCCTAGAACATTGTGTTAGCATAACGGGACCAAAAAATGAAGAGCTCGGTTTACACTAGTGCGAAAATAGTGTTACAACTCACCATGTGAAACAAAAGTGAATGAATATTAAACAACATATAAGCCTCAAAAAATCCCTGGTTAAGCTGCAAACCAGTTTATCTGGCCCCAGATAATTGAGAGTTGAGTGTACATTTAGTCTAACTATAAATTCTTAAAACTTACAGAAATAGTAATTTGCTGAAGTCCAATGATGAAAAGAGGTAGACACTTTTTATGTTTTCCTACCAGTGTAGTGAAGGAAGTTGTGTTTGGTAGGACAAGCTCTTAATAGTTTTTAAATTTCTGTTTGATATTATCTTGTGGCATCTCTGTAGTGGCCTATATGATTTGTAGTTTTCAGTGCACCTGCAGAGGCCAGTCTGGAGATGCTGTAAGACAATGTCACATAGACGTTTCCAAGATATGAGCATATATTGAATAGTCAGTGGCAGACGACTGGTGGTAGACAGGCAACAGTCATCCAGCTTGGGGGTTGGGCAGGGGATTAACAACCTATGATTATAATTCTTATAAGAACTATCACATGACGAAATGTTACATGGAACCGAAAGCTTAGCTGGGTTCTGTGGCATGATCTAAGTACCTTTCATCAAATATAATTAGAGTGGTCTAATTAAGAAGGATGGCATGGGTGGGACATAGAGCACAAGCAGAGGATTAGAAATGCATACAAAATTTTAGTCTGAAGAGTTGATGAAGGAGACCATTTAGGAGGTATACTTATAGATGGAAGAATAATGATAATAATATTAAAATGAATCTCAGGGAAAGATTGAGACATATTAGGGCTTTGAGTGATGAATAATAGGGTTCTGGATTAAATGATTGGATTTATTGGCACTTCTGAACAATTACAATAAATTATGACAGCTCACAGTCAATGACTGTCTACAACTTGCTCAATCCCTTACTGGACCACGAGCGTCTTTCTTCCACCATGATGAATGATGAATCTCTGCTCACACATTGGACTCATTTATGATTGCCATATGAAGAATCTCTTGAAGCTGAAATCTAGACTGAACTAACTTCCAGCTGGACCGAATACAGATGACCATCTCAAATGTTTAATCGTTCTTCTGTTATCACAGGAATATCTTTGTTAATGTTCGTTGCCTAGCAAATGAATTTCTGCTTCTGCTCATTGCTGTTTCGACTTTTAGGTAGTGTTTACCTAGCCGTTACCTAGCAATGGATTATTCCATGACAATATGATTTAGGGCTAAGGATGTATTCTGGTACATGTGGCTTAGGATGTGACCCACTGTGTTCTCTTATAAACCTGGGTTTTGTAAAAGGAAGGAGATTCCCTTATTTGTTGAGCAGCTATAAGCTTTGTATAGAGGACTTTGCTCTATGGAGCTAATTATTTGTGCACAGGGCTAAGAACCAAATCAAATCGAAAACTGAATCACACAATTTTTCAGAGCCTGAACCAAAATTGGGAGTTAGGATACCTCAGTTGGTATAGCGACAGCAATGAGCTGAATGGCTGAGGTTTTATTCCTGGTAAGGGTATGATTTTTCTCTTATTCACAGCGCCCAGATCGGCTCTGGGTCCACCCAGTTTCCTACCCAATGGACATCAGGGTTGGTGGGCAGAATTTTCCTTGGAAATAAAGCCACTGGGTCATGAAGCTGACCAGTTGTCCCCATCTAGTGCTGAGGTGAAAAATGGTACTACTCTGTATGTCTTCATGGCATAGTGCTTAATTAATTAAGCACAGGGAAGAGGTTACCTCTTTTACCTGAACCACAACCGAGGCTTTTAAATGAGTGATGACTAAATTGTGAACCCAAACCCACAATTTTTTAAGAACCAGTTCAAATCAGTTCACAGTTGCTCTGAAGTACACCCTGGTGTTTGATGTCTACTTTAAGTGGATGTGATATGCAACACACACACACACACACTCTGTTTGTGAACAGCAGCAACTCCCAGTTCCTTCCCAGACCTGTTTGAATTGTTAGAAACTTATTTAGAGACATCATAGATCAATGTAATATGCCAAACATACTCTGTTTGTGGCATCTCTAAGCACTGTTCTCAGTGGTACTGTCTGCAGCAACTAATATGCCAAACATACTCTGTTTGTGGCATCTCTAAGCACTGTTCTCAGTGGTACTGTCTGCAGCAACTAATATGCCAAACATACTCTGTTTGTGGCATCTCTAAGCACTGTTCTGAATGGTGCTGTCTGCACCAACTAATATGCCAAACATACTCTGTTTGTGGCATCTCTAAGCACTGTTCTGAATGGTACTGTCTGCACCAACTAATATGCCAAACATACTCTGTTTGTGGCATCTCTAAGCACTGTTCTGAATGATACTGTCTGCAGCAACTAATATGCCAAAGATATTCTGTTTGCGGCATCTCTAAGCACTGTTCTGAATGGTACTGTCTGCAGCAACTAATATGCCAATGTGCATGCAGTTTTAAAATGAAACTGTACATTTTTGGCCAGGCCAGAAGTAGAGTAAACAGAATAGATGCAAAATTTGGCATAATTTCAGCAATAATCATCTTGAAAAAACCTCCTGCAAGTGTCTCATAAGTACTGACTGAGAAATCAGGGTTCATACCACTGTAATTTGTGTATCAAGCCATACAAATGTCTTTTTTGTTTTGTAGCTGCCCTTCTAGGCTTAAACCCAGGAAATACTGCATGGGCTTTAATTAAATCTTCTTTATGAACATACCTGTAATATTCATTCTTACATCACAAGGTGCTTGAACTGAATGCTACCCTACACTGGCCAGGGCTTCATATCCTAAGCAATGATACATAGGTTGGATAAAAAGTAGTGGCAACACCTTTATAGTTATGAAATGACTTTATTACCTGAGGTAAACATACATTCCTTCAATATAATTGCCCCCCCATGTGTACCACCTTCTGCCAAATTTGTGGAAGGCATACACCATCAGTACTTCCACTTCTGTTGATTCCCAGCAGTGACCGCCCTATGGCATGAATAATCTCCTCTCTTGTGTTGTAACTTGTCCCTCACAGTGGTTCTTTCATTTTAGCAAAGTGATCATAATCGCATGGACTCATAACGGGTGAGTATGGTGGATGTTGCAGTATCTCCCATTGCCATCGGTGAAGGAGATCCTTGACAGTGTAGCAGTATGAGCCCTTGCATTGTCATGAAGGATGATGGGGTTCATTGCCAACAAGTGTTGTCGCTTTCTCCTGAGTGCTGGATGAAGATGATTACGCAGGAAATTGCAGTAGTAGGCAGTGTTTACTGTCTGTCGTTGAGGTACAGTGTGGTGCAGTATCACTCCATCAGTGTCATATGCCACAATGAACACTGCCTTCACATTACTCTGTGTAGGGCGCACTTTCTTTGGATAAGCAGAGCTAGGATGCTTCCATTCATTTGATTGTCGCTTCAAGTGCGGTTTATATGAGCGAGCTCAAGTTTCGTCCAGAGTGATGATCCTTCCAAGGAAGTCATCACCTTCCTTCTGGTACCAGTCCAATAAGTCCGGTGAAATTGCATAATGTTGCCATTGTTGCACCTCAGACATTGGGGTACCCAACGTGCTG